GGGTAAAATTAATAGCTATTCGAACGAGTTAGGGACTCACAAATATTAGATATAGCCTTTATGAACCAGTGGAACTGTGGAAGAAACTGGGTAAGACAGCAGAATTAATAAAAGAAAAGAAAATAAGTGCGAGGAGCACGTTTCACGTTGAGAATCATTCCTATTTTATCTAGGGGCGGCAAAAATGCACCTCACCATGAACTTGACCCTGACTCAACTCCTATAAACTAGTTAGGGTCTCCATTTATCGACCTGTAACTTATTAATAATTTATAGAATTGACTTAAACAAATTATGGGTCAAAATAGATCAACCGCAGGTTGATAGGTTGCTCCACTTTCTTTTCCTTTCTTTTCTTTTTTTTTTTCTTCAAAAAAATTTATTTTCTCAATATTTATTTTTAATTATTTAATTAAACTCCACTAACCATAACTTAATAAATTTATTGTCCGCTCATGTCTCCATTCTTTTTGGACTTTTCACCTTCCCTTTCACCCAAAATTTGTTGTTTTTTTAACAAAGGCAATTACAAAGGAAAAAGAGAAATAAGTCAGTCCATGGATTGGAGAAACACCAATGACTCATGGGTCTAATGTAAATATTTAAAAAGTTGATGGACCTTAAAGTTCTAACCAATCCTACCCAAATATTAACAGCTAGGGACGAATCAATCGCCTTTCCCAAATATCAAGTAATAATCTTCAACCACATCCCTGATCCCTTGCTACCTCTTTGTTATTGTAGAGAAGCAACCACCAAAGCAGCAGAGGAACATTCAAGTTCAAAATTTTCATTTTGACATTAACTATTAATGCATTCAATTGCCTTTTCTCGTCATCCCCATTTGAATATTTTTATGCATATTGACAAGTCTTCAGCGTAGACTATACCTCGGATTACATTTAACTTACAAAATTCTTTAATTAAAATGGGGATCAACAGTTCATACTAATTTTGCATTTGAATTTTCTTAGACTTCTCTATAATATTTAATTCTTAAAGTTATATTAAATTTGAGAATAAAGTTAAACAAAGACGGGAACCTTTTTACTTTTAAATACACTTTTGCCTGTCCGTTATAATTTCAGAAATATCTTTGCATAAATATAAATAGAAAACAAATTTGAACTCCACCAAAGCGGCTTGATGGTTGCGTGTCTCTTTGAGGCTGGTAGCCTATTCACTTGATCTGAAGATCGAATCCCCAGTTGCTAACTCTAACAATTCTAACCTACTAACCATTGCCCTTATAAAAAAAATAAAAAAATAGAAAACAAATTTGTTATTCACCATGTTATTTGTGGAAAAAGAAGTAAATAAAGGGAGTAAGCATATACATTCATTTTAAATTTCAATTCATTGTATACTTGATAATGTAATTTGCTTCCTTTTAATTAGTAATTGAAATTACAAATTATGTCATTTGGAATTTTTAAGTTTTGATTTGATTTAGATGTTATTATTTGATTTTAATAAATTAAAATAAAAAAAATGGTAAAAAATAACAATAAGGCCAACTCGTGGATTGACTTATAGCCCATTAAAATTAAATTTAAATTAACCTTTATCAACCCGTGACCTGTTTATGATCCAATTTGTATTTTTCTAACTGAAGTCAACCCAACTACTCAAACTTGACCAAACTTGCTTATTGGCCAAGCCTAATTTTATCTCATCTAAAATTCATCAAATGGGTCCGCTATACTAGCGATACAGTAAATAATAAGTTATATAAGAATCTTGTGATATTTGGTTAATCAACAAGAGATAAGCTTAGAGCCTATTTTTAATTGATTAAAAAAGTGTTAAAAATGAGTATTTTTTGTATTTAAATAGTCAATTTTTTAAAATTATTTAAAGTTAATTAAAATTAGGTTTACATAAACCTAATATATATAAAAGAAAGACATTTTCTAGCTTCATTTCAAGAAGATCACGAGTAAATGTTAATCCTTTTTATGTCATTCTTCGTGTTACTCCTTTAGTGTCAAAATAATTATTTTTTTAATTTAAAATTTATTTCAAATTAATTGGAATTTTTCTAAGAGATAGGTTAAGAGCACATCTTTAATATTAATTG